CCCACTGCTCAGTGTAAGATGCCCAGCAAAAGCATCCCCAGCAGAAGAGCCCCAGAGAAGGAGACCCCCTACCTCTCTGGATAATTAGTTCCAAAGCCCAAATGTCATTGAGAAGTCCATTCTAATGTCTAATCAAAACCAGCCCTCCTGTAACTTCTAATGTCCAACCTCTGGGGCAGCAGAGAACAAACTGTTTGGGGTCAAACTGTGGTCATATGGAGGGAAACATATTTATATTTTAAAATGGGTGATGACAACACTGGAACTGTTAAAGATCATCTATTCCTTGGCTCGGCCATTAATCGAAATGGAAATTGTGGTCAAGACCTCAGAAGAAGACCGACTTGGAAAGGCATTTGTGAAGACATGAGACAAGATCCTCAAATGTAAAGATATATAGTTGAATATCAGAGTCATCCATGTATTTCCAGATCCTCTGTGCAGATGCTGAAGCCGGAGAGTAAAGGAAGCTGATTTAAAAAAATTCAACTTATCCAAACTGTAAGAATTGTATAGATACCACAGGCAAGAAGACAAATAAATGGGTCTGAGAGGAAACCCTGAACTCTCCTTAGAAGCCAAAGATGCCTAAATTGAGACTGTCATATTTTAGACATGTAATGACTCACTGGAAGAGATAATAATGCTGGGAAATATTGAAAGCAATAGGAAAAATGTCAGAGTAAAATGCATTCTGAAGAGAAAATGCCATAGATGTGACTGGGGCAAAGAAACTGGGAGAAAGGTGAGAGGGTTACTTTCGTACATTTGGGAGCCAGGATGCCTCAACATTTGAACAGTCCTGAGTCACAGGGGGCTGAGGCAACACTAGGCAGAGGGTTGAGTCAGAAAACCTTCAATTCTGCAGAGTCACATCCTTCAGGTGAATGGAAACTGGCTGACATCCCAGGAGTGGGTTGGAATAATAATATCCCAGGAGTGGCTACTGTATATAAGTGGGTGAGTTGGATACTCTTTTGTGGGTGACTGTATATAGAGATACTGGCGGAGTACTTTGTTAGTCTGTACATAGTCTGTAATGGAAGAATAAAGAACCTCTTCGTGAGACAAGAGAGAGTGCAGCTGCCTGTGTGGAAGGTTTTTTCCTTGCAGCGTTTGCAGCTTTCAGAGAACTTCACAGTGTAACCAGAACTGGACACAGGATTATTCCAGGTGAGGCCTGACCAAAGCAGAATAGAGTGGCACTATGATTTCTCTAAAATCGCATTGGCTTTTTTAGTTGCTGCATCACACTGTTGACTCATGTTCAACTTGTGGTCTACTGGGACTCCTAGATCCCTTTCACATGTTGTTTCACAGGTGTCCCACATCCTGCAACAATGTATCTCATTTTTTCACTCTAAGTGTAGCATCCTACATTCCTCACTGTTGAAATTGATTTTTTAAAATGTTGTCCTAGCTTTTTTATCTATTAAGGTCATTTTGCATTCTCATCATATCCTCTGGGGTATTAGCTACTCCTTCTAAATAGGTGTCATCTGCAAATGTCCCCTCTTAACCTCCTCTTCTCCAGGCTAAACATACCCAGTTCCCTAAGTCGTTCTTCATAGAGATTCATGGTTTCCAGACCCTTCACCATTTTAGTTGCCTTCCTCCGGACACGCTCCAGTTTCTTAATATCCTTTTTGAATTCCAGGTGGGGCCTGACCAAAGCAGAATAGAATGGGACTATTACTTCTCTTGACCTAGATAAGTGGTTCTCAGACTTTGGTCTTCTAGGTGTTTTGGACTTCCAACTCCCAGAAGCCCTAGCCAGCATGGCCAACTGTCAAGAATTCTGGGACCTGAAATTCCAAACATCTGGGGAACCAAATTTAGGAATCACTGATCTAGGCACTGTGCTCCTATTGATCCAGCCTCGAATCACATTGGCCTTTTTAGCTGCTGTGTCACATGGGAGATTTATCCTACACAAGCATGATGTAACATCATGGCTTTTCTTGGGCTCATTCCCACTATGATTTAAAGCGATTTGCTGATCACTTTATATGTGCCTTGTTCACACTGGAAATGGTTTCAGATGCGACTGCGTTCATTCTGACTTGCTTTGGAAGCAAGACAAATGCAAAAAATTTGCTCTTTTGAAAGACTAGTTTTTTGGTGGTTCTTTTGAAAAGAATCAATTAGCAAGCATGTTCAGCAAGTGTGAACGACAGACCTGAATTGCATTGCACTGGAGGGGAGGGACTAATGGCAGAGGGTGTAACCCACCGAAGGATAAAGCGGCTGCCTCAAGGCTCCCAAGACCCACTTCCCCACTGCCTGAGAAAAGAAGGACCCCCCAAGTTCTGTGGGGCTCCTTCTGGGGACCCCTTGTCCCTTCCAACCCATCCCCATCGGCAGGTGAAGGAACTGGGAAGCCCAGAAGCAACAGTTGGCCAGAAAATGGACTAGGAAACTCAGAAGGAGCACTTCTCCCAGTTTGGGAGAGCAGGAAGAAGTCCAGGCAGGGAGAGCAGATATTTCTCCCAGTGAAGCCTCCTTGGTTGCGAGGACTTTGTCCGGAGAGCAGCCCTTATCTCTGGCACCAAGCGCCAAGCAGAGGGCTCTTCTTCCCTGAGGCCTGGACCAAGGCTGCCCTTTGTTCAGACATATTTCTCTTCTCTAGAGCTCCTGCCCTCTCTTTCCCTCCATGGGGCCAGAAATGGCTTGTTGGGAAGGACTAGGCTTCATTCCAGGGGAAAGAACTGGCAAAGTCACCTCTGAGAGTTCCTTGCTTGAGAAAACCCTCTGAAATTGGGGTCTCCATGGGTTGACAGGAGACTGGAGGGCACCCACCCACCAGGGCAAGGGACCCAGAGACCGAAGGCCCCCAGCCACGACAGGGCTCCCGGGCGCTTCTGCGTTTGTTGGCCTCCGAGGCAAGGCTGGCAGGCTATGCCCATTCCCTCAAAAGAGGGGGCTTTTGTGCTTCCAGGGGGGCATCCCCAGCCCCAACCCAGGCTCTCCCTCCACCAAGGAGCAGGACAGGAGCAGCATTGTCCCCTCAGAGGCACCCATGAGTGCCGCGGAGACCTCCTCTGCCCCACCAATAACACAATTAGATTGACAGCAGCCCAAATCCAGTGGGAAGGACAATCGTGTCAAAAAAAAAAAAAAAAGACATGAATTAATGGGATAATGAAATAATACACTTCCATAGTGGGAACTATGCATCGGCCTGAACCGATTCAGAGACCCAGAGTCAATGCGACTCACAAACCGATTTAAATGCAAGTGGGAATGAGCCCATTATAAGGAAAAGGATGTTGTGTGCTACACTGCCATTCTGCAGTTCTTAAAAATTATGCAAAGAGTCAAGATGTGAACCCAGAATCTTAAGGAGCAAAATAAAAGTGCTTGCCAGAAAGGGCTTCCTTTTTAAAAAACAAAACCAAATGCATTTTACATGTAGCCACTGGCTTTGAACTGGGAAGATGAATGGCTCCCTGCCCATCTCAAAACCAAAGAAGATCAGGGCCTTTTTCCTTTTCAGCTTCTCAGAAGGAGGAAAAGAAGCCTGTTGCTTCAGCCCATTCATTAGAGGAAGTTTAAATTCCAACGGCAGCTGATTTCCAAAGGCTTGTTCAAGAGGGGAATTGCTTTGAGTGGGAACCCAGTTTGTTTTGAGGGGAGAACAAAGGCCTCCTCTGGGGATCGGGGCTCCCTGCTCACCCTCCTCACACATTAAATCAGAGGAATCGGCATTGAGCGCATGGGAGCCAAACAAAAGGCCTACCTTCAGATTGCGTTTTGCTGTCTTTAATTGAAGACAAAGGGGAGAAGAGAAGACGCCGCAGAGTTCTGGGTTTCTATGCTGGTTGGGGAAAATTAAGCCCATCCTATCAGGATCTGCAGCCGGCAGTATAATTAAAGCAAACATGATGCAAAGGGGGTCACCCACCAGGAAGGAAAAGGAGGGGAGTTCTGCTCAGAACAGCAAGCAGCAGCCTGAGAAAAAGCCAGAAAGGAAAAGGAGAATTCAGCAGAGAATGGGAATGAGGGGGACTGAGGGAAGAATGGTCAAGTGAGCCCCTTTGTTTGCCAAAAAGAGAGCAAGGGATGGGAAGAGCGGATGGTTCAGCTGTTGTGGTGTGTTGTGTGCCTTCAAGTCATTCCTGATGTATGGAGACCCTATACTGGTTCTGAAGATATTGTTTTGTTGTTGTTGTTCTGTGCATCCAAGTCATTTTTGGCTTATGGCACCCCTAAGAGGAACTTATCATGTTGCTTTTGCTGTTGTTGTGTGCCTTCGGTTCATTTCAAACTCATGGCAACCCTAAGGTGAACCTATCACAGGGGTTGCTTGGCAAGATTTGTTCAGAGGGAGTTTGACTTTGCCTTCCTCTGCAGCTAGAGAGTGGGACTTTCCCAAGGTCACCTTTGCCCAAGGTGGGTTTCTATGGCTGAGTGGAGATTTGAACCCTGGTCTCCCAGAGTCCTAGTCCGACACTAGTTGTTCATATTCACATCACCTCACTCGGGGGAAAAAAAGGCTGGATAAAAGGTTCTCCAAAACTGGAGAAACCATTGGGGAGAATTTGTTTATGGGCTGGCATCCTGTTAGCGACATGCACAGGTGTCAGTTGCCTGTTGGATCAAAATGTTTGGATCAAAATGTGCAATAGAGGGATTCTAGTTTTGGGGTACAGAAGTGGAATTCTGTGCATGGGGCCATTGCACATTGGTTGCACATTTTTCATGCTTGTGCATTGTTAGGTTGCATTGTATTGTGTATGGCTGTGCATCCTGCATTACAGTTCAATGTGTACCACACAGGTGCATTCTTCCCCAGTGGATATCAGGCATCCTTGCCTTCCTGTCCTTTCTACACCTGGAATTATTGTTGTGTGCCTTCAAAGTCATTTCCAACTCACGGTGACTCCAAAGCAAAACTGTCATGGGGTTTTCTTGATAAGTTTCTTCAGAAGGGGTTTGCCATTGCTGTCCCCTGAGGTTGAGAGTGTGTGACTTACCCAAAGTCACCCAGTGGATTTTTATCACTGAGCTGGGATTTGAACCCTGGTCTTCAGAGTCCTAGTCCAATGCTTAAGCCGCCACACAACCCAGGCTCCTACACTTGGAATACCTCTGTTGATTTGAGAGAGAAAAAGAGAGGTTTATGTTTTGAAAAGCTCATCTGCTTGCAAAGAGGATGATTTTTCTCCAGGCCGCCTGGGCATTTTGAAGAGCCGACATTCTCAGAGGCAAGAAAGAAAGAGCTTTTATAACAAACTGGGGTGGAGGGGGTGGCAGGTGGGCCCTCAGGCTTCTTCCCACGACACAAAGACAATAAAGGAGCCACCAAAGGAAGGCGGCAGTGACTGAGCGCGGCGTGCTCCTTGGCATCAGCCTTTTATCCTCACTTAGGAAAGAAAGAGAGAACTTAAATGAGCAGAGGCATTTGATAAATATTTAACTTCTCAAACAGTGAGGAATGTGGAAGATGTGGAGGTGCTCCAGAAAAGTCAAGGCACCCCTTTTGGTAGTCAGGCACTGCAATGTTTCTCATAGAATCATAGAGTTGGAGACCTAAAGGGCCACCTAGTCCAAACCCATTCCTCCATTTTGCTCTCCTCCCTTTCCCATCTCCATCCCATGACCACCCAGGACTTGAGGGGAACTTTGGAAGCCTCCAGGTCAGGAGGATGCACTAAGACTAGTTCAGGGTTTTAGACCAGTCCATTTTTAGGCTTCGTCAGCATGTGTGTAGCATCAAGATCGAGGGAAGTAATAGTACCACTCTATTCCACTTTGGTCATGCCTCAGCAGGAATATTGTGTCCAGTTTTGGGCACCACAATTCAAAAAGGATGTTGAGAAACTGGAGCATGCTCAGAGGAGGATAACCAAAATGGTGGGAGGTCTGGGAACCACCAAGCCCTATGAGGAGTTGCTTAGAGAGCTGGAAATATTTAGCCTGGAGAAGAGATGGTTAAGAGGGGACACAGTGAGAGCCATGTTTAGGTATTT